GATTAATGAAGCTTGCATTATTTTACTGTAACTCTATTATTATTATTACTATTATTTATAATAATAGGTGGAAGATTTGTGCCTTTAAAACCATTTCAAGGAAGATCAGAGATTTAAGAAATATAAAGGACAATACCCTAGAATGGAGTTTTAAATATTTAAAAGTTTGCCAAATTTGTAATTCTTAAAGCTGATTCCTTTTTTAAAATTTCTTTTTGGGTCACACCCGGCGATTCACAGGGGTTACTCCTGGCTCTGCTGTCAGGAATTGATCCTGGTGGTGCTCAGGGGACCATATGGGATGCTGGGAATCAAACTCAGGTTGACCGCATGCAAGGTAAACACCCTACCCACTGTGCTATCGCTCCAGACCCTTAAAGCAGATTCTTGTTTATTAGAAATATCTTAATGCCTAAATAACCTGCAATATCAAGTTACCATAAAATGGATGGCTTAAAAACAACAGATATTCACTGCTCACAAGTCAGAAAGTTGAAAGTCCAAGAGCAAGTCCAAGAATCTTCTGGTCTCCTTATACATCCTCGCTTAAACTAAGGACCAGGGTGTCTGTGCCCTGGACACTAATCCCATTCCCTAGAGTTCCTCTCTGGGGATACAGTCACAAGTCACCCTCTAACACCCCATCTCTCATCCCATAGGAGATTAAGATTTCAGCAAATGAATTTGGAGAGACTCACACATTGTCTTTACAGTGAGGGATTTGTGATCCAACACAGGCTTCATTGAAACGTTACCTTTCTCCACCTGTTATATATCATCTTAGTTTTAAAGTTGATAAAAGGTGTGACACCTGGCAGGCTACCAAAAGTATCCTGCCAACATGGCAGAGTCTGGCAAACTCCCCGTGGCATATTCAGCGTGCCCAAAACCAGTAACAATGATGAGTTTCATTCTCCTGACCCTGAAAGAGCCTCAAATGTGGCACTTTCTAAAATCTCAGGGCTAGGACGAAGGAGATGTTACTGGTGCCTGCTCGAGGAAATCGGTAAACAACAGGATGACAGTGACAGTGAAAAGGTGTAGGCTTCCATGAACATCGGGCAGAACGCCTTGCCTTATTTCAGGAAGGAAAACTCAGAAGTTAACTGAATTTGAGATCTTTGAGGTCAGAGAACCTGGAAGGCCCCAAGTCAGGATCCCAAGGCTCATAGGATGTGAAAGTTGAACCCTTTACTTGTGCAGAGGTAAAGGGAGAAATCAAGGTCTGGGTTATATGTGAGATGTAAACTAGCTAATGATTTGCCTCCAGGCATTTAGTATTGATGGGATGGTGCTCAAATTCTTACTATGAATGAAACTTCTAGGGTTGTAGTTGTAGTTCAAGTAGGTCTCTGATTCCCTCTGTTGGTAATGGGAGTGGGGAATATTTATCTTTTTGAGTATGCCACAGGTGCTGTCAAAATCATGCCTTGTTTATGCAAGACCCTGGGTTCATGCTTAGCATCACATGACCCCCTAAGTACAACTGAGTGTGGCCCCCACAAACAACAAATAGAATAGAATTTCTAATCTATTTTCCAATGGTTCATGGACATGATGTTTCTTGCTCTGCTCCATACTACCAAGATGTCTGGATTTGGTGATGAATATTCAGCATGCCTGAGCTACTAAGTAGCTCTTGTCAAGAATCATCTTTCTTTGCACAACACTCATGATCAATCACGCTCATCCTGTTGTTTGTCGATTGCCTCGAGCAGGCACCAGTAATGTCTCCTTTGCCCTAGCCCTGAGATTTTAAAAAGTGCCATATTCAAGGCTCTTTCAGCGTTAGGAGAATGAGACCCATCATTGTTACTGGTATTTGGCATATTGGGTACACCACAGGGAGTTTGCCAGACTCTCCCGTGCGGGCAGGTTACATTCAGTAACCTGCCAGATTGACCAAAGTAAGAATGAGATAATAAGACGTTGTGTGGCCGCGAACGCCAGGAGCTGGGTTTTATAGTCTCTGGGTCTTGGCCGTTTATGGGACTACACAGCGCAGGGGGGTGGGGGGGGGGGCAGTTGGTGGGTGTGACCCCTGCCTACTGGAAGATGGAGGATCTGGGCGGAGGATGCTCAGCCCCGATCTGAGCAGGCTTGGAGATCTCAGTCCCAGGACCCACATGCCTTTGTTCCTCTGCCGGTACCTTCATGTGTGTGGAGAGTGGTCTCAGCATGGTTGTGGCTGGTTCTGGAGGTCTTCGGCTGCCGGGGTTCTGCTAGGAGCGGGGAGGGAAACTCAACCCGCCCCCTCCAAGGAGCCCCAGCGAGGACAGCCAGGCACTGGGGCAGGAGACTCTGTGCTGCACAACACTAATTTTAGTAAAATGCTAGGTTAATAGAGAAACTAGACTTTGTATGATAAATAATGCCCTTCTGGTTTACTAAAAAGCAAGCTTTCATGACAGCATTTTGTTTAAAGCACAAAGAAGCAAAAGTGTCCTTATTTGGGGAAAGATTACATCGTAGTTTTATCTTAGGTTACCTCTCAGAGAGACTGGCAAGCTACTGGGAGTATCTCACCCGCAAAGCAAAGCCTGGCAAGCTCCCCGTGACATATTCGATATGCCAAAAACAGTAACAAGTCTTACAATTTGTTGTGAGACGTTACTGGTGCCCACTTGAGCAAATTGATGAACAATGGGAGGACAGTGCTACAGTACTACTTAAACAAAAAAATTGCATCTTGTGATATACATTTTCTCCATTGCCTAATAGATCATTAAAGTTCTCTGTCAACAGAGAATACTTTATTACATACTACCAGAATCCCTAATCATTTGATGTATCTGTCACCAAATACACATATGGAATGACACTCACTTTGATTTTTGATAACTGCATGCATCATCAAATAATTCAGTTTTCCAAAATTGATGTCCTTTCTCTTTCTCTCTGTCCCCTCATTTTCCCACTACCACCACACCCCTGCAAAAAATACAAAAACAAAAGGACCTGTAGTTAAGACAACAAAACCAGATCTGCCTGAAGCTTGTAATTTGGAGTATGTGACAAGCCCACCCTTGGAGTGGCCATATTCTTTCTTTCTTGCTTTGATTGGACAGAGTCTCACAAATACCTTCTTGCTGATAAGGGCCACAGACCCCAGACTGGACAAGACTGGTCAGTGGGAGCTACTCCATGGAACCCCTGACTTGAAGTTACCTTTCTCTGCCCACCACCACACTGACAAGCCCAGTGAGGCTTCTCTGCCATTTTCTCTACATGTGATGCATGTTCACTGTATGTTTATGTATATTCTCTGCATGTTTCGCATCTGTGCTTACTCACCTCTCCTCTCTGTCCCATAAATCTACATGATTTTTAACCCAGAAAACTTCCTAAGTATGTCTAGACTGTTATGTTACCTTAACTCTACTCAGCATAAAACCATACCCGACAACTTCCTCTACTGGGGGCTTTGCTCTGTAGCCTGTGCTTTTTAGGACATATTTCCCATCTTCTTGTTTCCTTGCCAATAATGTCCTCCTTTATTATTCAGTTGTTGTTGTGATATTTGGAAGACACATATAAGAATCTAATAACCCAAATTTAAAACCAAGTCCATGCAAATAGAGTGCGGAGAAGGAATGTCTGATAACCTTTAGCTAAGTTAATTAACATGACTCATGTTGTGTGAAGTGCATTTCTACCCAATCAGTAGAAATCAGTGCCTTTCTGTTTATGACTCAAATTCTAAGCCTCATTCCCTGAGTAGATATATAGAACTGAAATGCCTGAATTGCAAGCTGCTAGAAACAAATGTATATTATAACCACATCATTAAGGTTCTTTGCTACTTCTCCCTTCTTGTTACCTTCTGAAAACTTAGGTTTCTCTGTAGCTAGTAAAAGTTAAAATGGACAGACTATATGGGGTTGGAGGGCTGAAGCCTGTAGTTTAGAGGATGTGACAAACTTTCTCTGACAGAAGATTCCTTATTACAGAATTTTGGCATTGATGGAGCAAAACAAAACCTAAAAACACCTTAATACTGATAGGGCCCCCAGTACCCTGGTCAAATCCTACTTTCCAGTGGCTCCCTCATTCACTTGCAATCACCTCCCTTTTTCCCACCTTACTTAAAGATAACCTTAATTCATTTCTCCACCACTTTCTGTACAAGGGACATATATCTTTTGAATGTTTCTCAGTCCACATGCTCACTAATCACCCTCATGAATATACGCGAGTTTCCTAAAAACTACTAGATAATGTATAAACTATTATGTCGCTCTAGCCCAGATTCCCATTGCTCTTTGAAACTTGCTTTCCAGCCTTTCCTGATAGACATGCTTTCGATTATTTTTGTGCCAATAAAATTTCTTTTCTATTCAGTTGTTTCTGTAATTTGGGGGAAGACTTTTTTTTAAATTCAATAAAATTTAAACAAAGCTTGTCTGTTCTACCTACATTCAAGTGCTCAAAATTCACATATGACTAGTGACAATATGAAGAAATTATAGCACATATTGCAGAAAGTTCTTCTAGCATTCCTTTTTTTACAGAATAGCTCACAAAGGGTGATTCCATATGAATGTGGGGTGGGGAAGAAGTCTAGCAAATTCTTCCAAATTAGCATTCTCTTGACCAATGTGTCCAAATAGAGCAGGTCCATTAATTCAATGTTATTCTATTAATTCAATGTTATTCCTTGTAGCATTGATTAAAAACAATATATTCCCGCCATACTGAGGCATATTGCTTTTTCCAGACCTACTATGTCTATTTTTAAGGAACTATTTTTTTACGATCTGCATTTCACTTAATGTCACAGTTTGCACGTGACTTATTTCTATGGTAGTATACACACACAGACATGCATAGCTGTCTTAAAGATCATAAATCATTCTAATTTTATATTGTCTATAACCACTGTGTAAGTATTGGTAAAGCAAACTCTGGATTTGCTATTTAAAGGAGATTGCATTTTGATGAAATAACTTAAAATCCTTCTCACTACTGCAACAGCAGATTTTTCATTGAAGAGCAAACACTTTTGAATGCATGGAACTTTATTTAAATGCACATAAATACAAGGACAACATAGGGAGACTGCAGGGTGGAGCACAGTGGCCGCATGCATTAGGAGGGTCAGCAGACTCTAGCTTCACAGGATGAAATAGGGTTGGAGATCTGGTTTCATTTTCCATCACCACATAGAAGGGTCTTCCATCCTGTCAAACAAAAAAGCATAATAAAAGATGCTTAACTTCCCTGGAGGTTGGCAAGAGTGAGGAGTTCAGTTTGGAATTAAAAAGTAACCAGAACATGATAGAAAGACTCCTGCTGCATCCTATGATTTAAAAAAAATAAGTATTTATTTTTGGACTTGAGCCATAACCAGCAGTGCTCAGAGGACCATAGGCTTTGTTTGGGATTAAACACACACCTAACCCTGTACTATCTCTCTGGTCTCTCCTGTTGTATTTGAATAAGATACTATGCCTATAAAATATCAAGTCAGAGACAGTGTATAATACGCAAAGACCCAGCTGAGAAGCTTTCACTCATGTTAATCAGAGACTCAGGGAAATCTCAGTGGAAGTACATAAATAACTTTGGATTGAACAAAGTCACTTAAGAACACTGTAACATTTCTGAAGATCAGAACTACAAGACTCACACAAACCTGAGTCAAGAAAGTTATTGTCTCTCAATGCTGGATATGCTTTCTTTGGTTGAAAGGCTTTTTGAATATAGTGAGATGATGCTATTTAGTAGGGATAAAAGAGCTCTTTAATAAAATGGCATTCACAGGCACTTCAAGGCTGCCTTTTAACTACCCATGATTGAGACTGTCAATCCGAGTGCATTTTGCTTTATTTCCTATACCAAGCTCATAACTTAGGCCACAAAATGAAAAAGCAGTAAGGTTCTAAGCAGTTCTGAATGGTTCTGACCATAAATAGAAATAGCTGCTCCCCCACTTTTATAAAGGAAAAAATTGTTAGGGGTTTCAGTGAAATACAAAAAGTATTATATTGATTAGTGTTACAAAACCCTTTATTACTTCAATAAAGCTGGTCTTTGAAAAGGAAAATAAAAACATGTTGAATGACTTTTCTTCCTGTTTCCTTTAAGTCAACTGTTTGTGGGCTGGTACCTCCAAGCATAGGGCACTGGAGTTTTATTCCAGTCCAAATACTTCCTTCAGAGAAAGTCAACTGGAGAGAATAAAAGAAGGTGGAGGAAGGAGGTTGCTAAGTGGGGAGGTTTTAAGGGGGGAAACCCAGTGAAGAGTGACACGCCACATTTACTGAACAAGTGTTCTAGTGACCTCTTCTGGGGAACTGGGCTGTTGGCATTGTAGAGCTCTGGGTTAAAGGCAGACAAGCCACTGCAGAAATGGAGGATCCTTGTGATCTGAAGGGGAGAGCAGGACTTCGGGAACCAAAGAGCCAGGAAATTAGGAATACATAGAGGAGCTAGGGCTTGATCAGTCAGCAGATCTCTTGAATCAGAGGAATGGGAGAAGCCTAGTCAATGTTTGATACATCAAGATGGTGGATACCTCTTTCCACCACACTCCCCAAAGACAGACTTTAGGAAAGTTTGATGCTAATCCCTCACAACAATGGGTTAGTCAACACTTATTCACCAAATGCTATGACTATGTGATATAGTTAGGCTAAAAATAATGGAGTTAAAAAGCAAACAGGAGAACCTATGATTTGTCTGTAGCTTTATGTAAAGCTGTGAAGCAGGTTAGGAGTTGGAGAGTAACTCCACAAGCAACATTTTCCAAGTGACAACATCCCACCTTGTGCATTAAAAGCTCCAGATTAGCCCTGCCTAAGTGGAGTAATTATCATTTCAATATAGAGATGGGTATCTCACTCTTTGTTGTCTTAATCCAAACTCAATTAGAAGTTCTCCAAAGTTCTCCATATCTGAGGTCCTATTATTAAAAAATGTCAAGGGCACATCAAATCATCAAAATGATTGCCTTTTAGAGGCTTATAGAGGATCTCCAGAGAAACCCTCCCTGTAGATGTTTCCCATTCCCTTGATGACTAAATCCCACCTTGTGGAAAGACCAGCACATTCTCCCCACAACCACCCTAAGGGGCCCACTTGGATCTCCCTCTCCGGGGCCCCAAAGTTCTGCAAAAATGTGTCCACACAAGCCTTTTCATACCTAGTTCTGGGTATGTTTTCCGTGCTTTCTTTCATCAAGAGGTCTGAAATCAGTGCATCAGGGCTGGACCGTTTTCCATATCTAAAAATATGAAAGAAAGAAAAGAAAAATTCTTTAAAACAAATGTAGAATAGCCCCCACCCCCAAAAAACAAACTGGCAAAAGAAAAGAAGACATTCTTCTGTTTGGGATATTAAATCTATTTTCAGTTGATCACATGCTAACATGTAATCTAGGAATACAAAACAGTACCAGAAACACCACAAAAATGGATTTAAATTGTATATACACATACCTAGACACATACAAACATATTTAAGTATTTAATAACTTCAAACCCAATCAAATTTCTTAAATTCCTGCCTTCCTCTACTACACAAGACAAATATGTATATAGTTAGGTAATTTTAAAACTAGGTGGCAAGAAATAGAAATATATCGAGGCAAGATTACATGCTTGCATATTAATTAACTGACTATAGTTCCAATGAGACACTGAAGTTTAAATTTTAATAAAATAGATATTTTAGAAACTGCACTCAGCACATTGGATGGAGTACCAGACCTATCTGAATCTGTTTTTCCTCATTTATAAAAATAAAATAACTACTGCTTACATCAGAGTTTTCATAAAAACCCAACATGAAGCAGAATGCTTGTGTACAAAAGTGTACACAATGCAAGTTACTGATACTGAAATGCACACAGTCTATGTCTGCCAACAGCTATTGGAGCCTTATATTTATCTGGGATACCAAATGGTAACAGCCTCTCTCATGATGGTATCCCTGCCCACTCTACCGAAACCCCCCCCATCTCTCCACTCCTTAAGATATGGTAACCACCAGCATATCACTGTCACTGTCCTGTTGTTCATCAATTTGCTCGAGCAGGCCCAGTAATGTCTCCATTGTGACACTTGTTACTGTGTTTGGCATATCGAATACATCACGGGTAGCTTGCCAGGCTCTGCCGTGCAGGCGAGATACTCTCGGGGCTCTTTGAGAGGGGCAGAGGAATCGAACTCGGGTCGGCCACGTAGGCCTTTTGCAAGGCAAACGCCCTACCTGCTGTGCTATCATTCCATCCCAATATATATTAAACTTTATTGTTTTGAAGAGATTGTCTTCTTCCCTCTCAGAAATGGCTTTTAACACCAGTAGTTTCTTGCTTCCTAAATGAAAAATGACCTAGAAAGAACTGATTAGTTAAGATTGAACTGTGAAATAAAACTTACAGAGGGTATACTCTAATTGCCTATCAGTCACATTTCAAACTGTTTGGAATGGGTGAAATTTTCATGATTGCACCTTTGTTGCAACCCAAGAAATCAAAAATAGAAAGAAAAATAAATACACAAACCTCCCTTCTCTAATCACTTAAGAGATTTCCTCTAAGAAGTTCCAAAGTTGTGATATCAGACTGGAAGTTGCTTCTTATAGTTATTTATTCTATCAGTTGATTTAATCACTTTTGGGCAACCCTAACTTATTTAGTATCATCTTCTCCAGTAAATAAAAGAAATGACAAGTATTTCTTCCTATTTGCCAATGAAGAACCCAAATCCATAGTAGCAGGATTTTACCAGCCTTGAATTAGTACCCAGGATAGCACTGACCTCAGATTCTCTCTTCTGAGTTCTTCTTTCAGACCTTTACCTTTCAAAGTTTTGAGTCTTTAGGAAGAGAAAGATCTTCAAACCTAGCTGCACATGGGCAGAACTCTTAAAACCATGAGACAAGTCAGCTCCAGTCCAGGAGTTTTGAATTAACTTGGGAGCATGGAGGGAAAGAAGTCCAGCATTAGTATATTTTTAAAAATCCCCAGGTGATTCCATGTTTTGACCAGGATAGAGAAATGTTCACCTATAGCTTGGGTTCTCTAATGTTTGCACCATGGATATGTGGGGCTGGACAGCTTTGTTGTGATGAAGGGTTGTTTGGCACTGTGGGCATTTTAGCATCTCTCCCCTCTGCCTAGTAGATGCCAGTAGCACCTCTCATTCTGCACCTCCCATCTGTGACAACTGAAAATCTCTCCAGACATTGTCAAATGTCCTGGAGAGCACAAAGCCAGCTCCCATTGAGAGCTAAGAGGACTCAAGAAGCAAAATAGAATAGATTTGTGCCTAGGAGAAACAACGCAGCTTTCAGAAGCATGAGCCAGAGATGTGTGGGTTCCCGTGATCATGAACCAAATACCAGAATGATGCTAATTTATGACAAATGAAAGCAGATATTCAAAGTGACAGTAATTTTCAAAAATATTTATGTGTGTGTGCCATTTGTGTTGTAAAAGGTGTGAACACACAAAAATGAGAGATGGTAGGTGCAGACAGGTGGTTTCGAAGAAAGGAATTTGTAGGAAGGAGTCACAGGAAGCCCTGCTCCAGGACCAAACTCATTCCCATCTCAAACAAATATCTTGCCACAAAACAATCTTATTTTCCCCATCAGTGATGTTACAGATGAGACTGATGATCTGATGGAGACAGTACTCAAGGAAAAGCAGGAGGGTTCCATTCTCATCAGCCCTAGAGGAAAGAGCTCATGAAACAATCTTAGTTTCATGATCTGTAAAAATAAAGATTATACTCACTTTAGGGCTGGAGAGATAGCACAGCGGGTAGGGCGTTTGCCTTGCACGCAGCCACCATGTCCGACCCAAGTTTGATTCCTCCGCCCCTCTCGGAGAGCCCGGCAAGCTACCACGAGTATCTCGCCTGCACGGCAGAGCCTGGCAAGCTACCCGTGACATATTCGATATGCCAAACACAGTAACAATAAGTCTCACGATGGAGACGTTACTGGGCCAGCTCGAGCAAATCGATGAACAACGGGAGGACTATGACCATGATACTCCAAGTACTGAGGAAAAGTATGAACAAAGGAATGCCTAGGAAGAATGTTCTGAAATGATAAAGCTTTACCCAATGATAAAACTTCGTGGCAATGGGTTTTTGTTTTTGTTTTTGTTTTTAAAAAGTTTAACCATAAGCTGTATTAACAAAAAAATTTAAAAAGGTTTCCCAGGAGATGAATTAGCAATCAATGTTAATGTCATTTGTTAAAGTTTTTTCTGTGTCCTGTATGATAGCATATGCATGAATTTGAAGCTACAACTTTCTGAGAAGTCTATTATTATAGAGAACATTATTGATTTTCATTAATTAAAAAGATTATATTTCAGGAATCATAAATAAATTCTATTTAATTCTGACATTTTCATGTATTTCTGATTCTACATAAATTCTAAAAACAAATGCTAAATTCTATAGTATTTGTAAAATAGTTTGGATTTGCTATTCTTAACGTGATGCCGAGGACGAATGTGGCAATTTGTTTTAGCTTTCAAGGAGTTCGGAATGAAATATACCATTTCTCATACTTGACTTATTCCCCCAATTCCCCAATTTTCCCCTAGAGACCAAAGTAAAAGTCACAACCAACGCTAAAGCTCCAAATAGCCATTTCCTTTTCAAAAGACTTCGGAAGCTCATTTGCATTTAAAAACAATTACTTTTCTGCTAAATTTCTATACCTGGGGACCAAAACTTTCAAAGCAGGGTCTGAAAGAATACAATACTATTTCTTCCTCTAAGCGCTACCATTCCTTCAGCTCTGAGCAGTTTGGAAAATCTTGCAAAGTCTTTGGTGGCTGTTCCTTCCTTGGTATGGTTGTTTTCTAGACATCCTGCGCCCTTTCTTCCTAGAACTGCCCAGGGGGCACACAATCCTGACAGCGCCCTGCGCAGGTACTGACCTCTAAGTTTGTGCCTGCAACCCGTCCCGTCTGGAGATACAAGAGAAATTGTACCCTTCCTTTAAGGTCAGTGTCTCCAAGCCTGCCGGCAGGGAGAAGCGTCCCTACCCAGCCCACCCACCTCTGCCTGGTGATGAGGTTGATGTAGTGCCGCAGCGCCGAGTAGTATTTGGCCACGTCTTCCGCCGGCGCGTCCTCTCCCGGGTTGTCAGGCTTGGAGGGGTAAGCCTCCACCAGTGCTCCCAGGCACACGAGCAGGGACAGGGTGAGGGTCAGCCCGTACAGCCCCAGTCGCTTGCTACTCAACATCTGCGAGCACAGAGGGCCAGGGAGAGGGTGGGGAGGTTCAGAGCGCCCATATCTCCCAACTCGGTCCCCCGCGTCCTTCTTCGGGTTACCACGCGGACCCCCTATCCCACCCAGTGCGGCAGCGGGGAGCAGCGCGCGACGGCTCCCACCCGGGCCGGCTAAGGGCACAGTCGGTCGGGACCGCGCCCGTAGCTCCGCGCACACCGCGCGCAACACAGACGCGCTCAACCAACAAGTTGCAAGGTGGAAGGGAGCTTGGGGAGGGGCGGGGTGGGACTCAAGTGCAGACCAGCAGAATCAGAACTCGCACGGCGACTTAAAATGATCACTTTTGTTTGCTTTTTCAACCCCTTCCTTCAAACCCAAGGCAGCGGAGAAAAGTTTCTTCTCGGCTGCCCCACGAGGGTGCGAGAGCGCTACTGCGTGGGCGATGATGACTCCGAGCGCTTGGCTGACCAGAGAGGCTGAGACTGGCTTCCCGGCCCGGGCAACCCCAGTGGGGACCCCGGGCGTCCCCAGAAGTGTCAGATCTCGCCTGGGGCTTTCCTGGCGCTCGGGGTGGGGGGGGAGGGCTCCTTCAGACGGCGCTGCCTAGAAGACCCCCAGCCAGGGGGAGACCACTCCCAACCCGAGAGACAAGGGTTCGCGGGTCAGGGCTGGAGTTGTTTACTCTCCTTAGCTCCGCCAAAAACGGACCGAGGGGACCCACCCAGCGGGGATGCCACCCAGCCCCAGGGGGAAAGAAGGACAGCGCGGATCGGAGAGGAGTGGGAAGGAAGGGTTCGTCCTGACGGCCTGGACCGCAGGGCGCGCGTCGGGGCGCGGCGCACCGCGCGGTTTCGGTGCGGGGCGCGAGGCTCCCAGGGAGGTTCAGAGTTGACCCCCCCGGGGTCTGGAGGGCTCCCCCTGGCCGAGCAGGTAGGGGCACTCACGGTGGCTGGCGGGCAGGTGTGGCGGGCGGCGCGAGTGCTGCTGTCGGGCGCGTCTCCGAGGGCAGGAGCCGGCGGGCCGGGTGCCGTGAGCCGGGCGCACCCGGCTTTTATAGCTCGACGCGGCAGGAGGGGCCGCGGGCAGTCACGCTCCGGTGACTCCCACCCCATCACTCCCGCCCCCCGAGTGGCGGGGGGCGGGGGAGGGGGCTGGAGACGCAGCCTCAGAGTGTCGCCTCCCGGAGCCACCCCCACCCAAGTCCTCCGCCCCAGGACGGGCGGGGGCAGGGGGACCCAGCACCGCGCACCGGGCCGTGCGCTCCGACTCCACTCGCTCTACGCCCTGTCCAGACCCGGTGGAAACCGGAGCAGCCTAGATCCTCTTTGCCGCCTGTCCCAGGGACATCACCCTGCCAGGGGACCGTTTCTAAATCCTTGACTTGACGGAGCATCCTAGGGACACTCTCGGCAGCTGGGCACAACTCCACGCGCGCTTTCACGGAGAGGCAAACTTGGGAGCTGATTTCTCTGCGTTTCAAACAGGTCGGAGACCTCTGGCTGGAGGGTCCCACTCACGGTCCGACTCCCAAGCCCAGGGGCTGAGATGGGCTTTCGGGGCTTCTGTTCCCTCTCTCTCTCTGTCTAGCTTCTCCCACCCCGGACTCCCCACTTTTTTCTAGTACATCAGTCTTGCCCAAGTACTCGCCCAGACGCGGGTGCCCAGCTCTGTCGATTCTGTCCAGAGTTTGGCTGCTGAGAACGCCCCAGAGGCAAGAGATGGTAAATCCGCGTCCTTGTTTGCTGGGGAAAAGCCCTGTTTCCAGTGCGAAGAGACCCCTTACATCGCAAAGAAACGAAAATCTGGAAACAGTAACCACACAAACAGCGGTTTCTCCTTTTCCGGGCTTTGTATAGTGCCACACGCGTTCAGTCAACGTTCATGAGAATATTCTCTCTAGTGAAAATTAAATAGGTTCCAAAAAAATCAACATTAATTCACACATGATTTTCAGTACAGAAACTGATTTTAGGAGGATCTGGATTTCATGTTGCGGCTTTGAGAGTTCCAGGAAGAGACGCTCCTAGAACCTCCTAGAAGTCTGATTCTTTCTACACGAAATGACTTGTTAGGAAATTAAAGCATTATGTTATGTGTTATTGCGATGCTAAAATGATAGTGAGACTGTTAAACTGGAGTATTCTTTGGTGTGATGCTTCATTTTAACAGTGTTAAATAATTAAATCAGCTGTTCTTAAGAGAAAGGTGGGGCGGTGGTGACTGCTTTTCTCTATACAACACAAAGCCAAGAACTCTCAGCAGTTGTGATGGGGCTTAAGTTAAAGAATATTCTTTACATTTTGAAGAAAAATTTTTTTTACGAGAGCCTTTTTTAAAAAATCAGGATAAAGACACTGCCATTTTTTCATAAAATTATCTTATTTTAGAATGAGTCAGATTTTTATGAGTTAAAACCTACACTTATAAGTAACTAGATTTGAAAAAAAATCTTTCAAAGTAGTGGAACAAGTCCTTAGAGGGGACGACCATGGAAGTGTCATTCACTTACAGTAATGTTACTGAGAGCCCAACTCAGAGCATGTTTGCAGGGTTCAGTGAGAAATGGAACTCTGTGCACTGCATGTGTGGATACTCATGGCCTCCTGTCCTCTTTCGTCTTGTCTCTCTTGGCCTTGGACTCTGAATTTTCTGACATGTGTATCTCTCAGAACTTTGGTCTGTTTATCACTCTCCTTTCTTATATTTTTCTTTATCTACACGTGTATATTAAAGCTTGCCCATTTGGTTGTATTCCATAAAAGGAACATAGTAGAACCAACTTTCTCTCCACAAAGCAACAAAAGGAAAACTCACACAACCAGCTTCCTTCTTGTTATTGGACCATTTTTCTTTGTGACAAAATTAAGTACTTGTGCCTGTGTGCCTACATGTAATATATTAATTTTAACAGCTCAGTGAGATATGGTTGGCATATGGCCCATGAGTGGTACATGTAAGACATATTCTTACATGTTTATGCTGGTGAAATCACCACAAAGTAATCATAGCCGAGTTCCCCTATGTCTTCTTTGCAATTCTACTCCAGCCTCTCCTTAATTGATCTACTTTCTGTCCCTATTGTTTGCATTTTCTAAATTTGTATAGGAATACATTTCTCATATGTATTCTTGCCTACCTTCTTTTATCCAGCTTCATTCTTCAAATCCACCCATATTCCTCAACATTATTCTATTATTTGACTCTATTTTGGAAGGGAAAAAAACTGTTTACTTGCTCATGTACTTTGGGTTGTTTCCAGTTTGGACCATTACAAATACATCTATAAATAGATGTTTGCACGTCATTGCAGAGACATGTCTTTATTTCTCTTGTTACATGCCCAGGGGATGACTGACTGGATCATACAGTAGGTGGATGTTGCGACTCACTACTGGTCTGGGTGCTTTTGATTTTTATTTGTTCTTTTTTTCTATGCATACTTATCATGCAGTTCCTATTGCTATTTTTGAATGGACTCATTTGTTTGCTTTTCTTTATTATGAGACACTCCATGGGTTTGTGTGTTATCATCATACAGGGCTCGTACTAATCTTCTCCGTATTGTTTCAGTTTCAGAAAATGTTCTGCCAAGCAAGCATGGGTTGACTAAGCATTTGCTCTGTGGTGTACTTACTAAGGAGACTGAGCAGAAAGATCTGTAGACTTTCCATTTGCACCTTTTTTATATCCTCATGTCTCAGCAGGTCTTGTTGGTCCCGATTGTTTTGATTATATATTAATTCTTACTTCTTTATTGCTTCTATCATCTACCACTTGGTTGGGTATTTGGATGGTGAGTTTTTTACTCCATTGAGGTGTGTTTCCCCTATCTCTGTCTTCCTGGTAATTTTTGGCAGGATGTCAAAAAGTTTATTGTAAACTTTAGTTTGTTATTTCTTGGGTATATTCGCATTGGTAAAACTTCTTGAACTTTATTCTAGGACTCCATTAAAAGCATAGGAACAGAGGCCAAAGTAATAGTACAGCAAATAGGGCATTTCCCTTGCCTTCAGCCAACCAGGGTTCAATCCCTGGCATCCCATATGGTCCCTGAGCACCACCAGGACTAATTCCTGAGTACAGAACCAGGAGTAAGCCCTGAGCATCTCTGTGTTTGGCCCCTAAACCAAAACCAAAGTAACACCACCCCACCCCACCCCCCCAAAAAAACAACAAAAAACATGGGAACAGTCTTATGTATATAGACCCTCCACTTAAGATGGGTTGGTTGGTTGGTTGGTTGGTTGTTGTAGAAAAGTAATTGGGAGGGACAGGAGCTGAACAAGCCAATGGATATGTACGTGTATGGGGGAGTGGGGGTGAGCGTCTCAGTGGAGGTGGTGTTGGGTAGCTTGAGGAGAGTTGGGCAACTAAAGCAAACACTGTTGTTTGTGTATTTTACTCTGCACACAACATTTTTGACAGCAGATGTATGGATTTTCTACAGCAAGCAATTTTCCAGTCCTTGGTAAACAGCACTGGCACATTTTACATTTGAACTCACTTCTAACCCTAACTGCATGTTCTAGGTGCAGACCCTACATACAAAAGGATTCAGTCCCCAAGGAGGACTGCCTTCCGCTACCAATGACTGTCATGAATGTGAGATTGTCACCTGTACTTCTGACTGGCCCACACTGAATCAGAAGTTCCCACAACTCTCCCTCTCGTCTCATCATTTGCTAGCAGAGCTCACAAAAGCCAAGGAAACATTTACTTATATTCATCAGTTCACTACAAGGCAAATTGCAAGAGCTTGAGATGAAGAGCCAGATGAAGAGGTTCATGGAGCCAGGTATGGGGGAGTCACACATGGTCCCATACCCTCTCCATGCCACTCTCCTGGCACCTCCCCATGTTCCCCACATGGAAGCCCTTTTGACCCCATGTTTTAGGGATGTTACTTAATGAAAGTTTCAGCATGGAGGCATGCTCAATTATTAACTTAATTTCTAATTCTGCCCTGCTTAGGAACTAAAAATTTCTCACTCCAACTATTGACTGACTTTGTTCTTGTTATTTGTTTTTATTTTGGGGCCACATCTGGTTGTGCTCATGGCTGATTCCTGGCTCTGCTCAGGCAACATTCCTGGCAGAGGAAGTGAAGTGGCTCTAGGAGCTGTATGGGATGTCTGGTCCTTCTGAGGTGCAGAAGCTTCTTAGTTTAAGATAGTCCCATTTGTCTATCTCTGATTTCTGGTCTCAGGCCCACAGGCTGACTTTCCAAAGCTTCACCCAGACTGTAGGGTCTTACCTGTCAGCTGTCATTTGCAAACAATAAGGCACTCGTCTCACTGCGTAGATTCCAAGGGAGGGTCTTAGAAGCTTTTCTGTCTGAAACAAGGAAGATGCTGCCTATCTATCAATTCCGAAAACTACCAGGGTTTGAGAAGTTCTAAGTCAGAAACAAAGACCAAATACATTACTTACTATACCCCAGGACAGGTCTTAGGGAGATGACATTTAATAAGTTGAAGGGAGTTCTGAATCAAGGAAAGCCTGGGGCAGAGAGTTCAAGCTGAGGAAAGACCCTGGGCAGGCCAGAACCTGGTATTGTCAAACGCAGTAAAGACACCAGTGTGACTGGCTGGAGAAAGTGAGAGAGGAACAGAACAGAAGGTGAGTCAGAGCAGACTGAAAGAGGAGAAGTCAGGCAGGACTCTGTATATGTTTTGGTGCTTGGATAAATGTGAGCCAAGGGCTCTGACACAAAGGACTCTATGTTTATTTCCCTACAAGACTGTCAGCAGGAAAAGAACTCTTCTCCATTGTTCTAAGGGCAAGGTATAACCCATAAACAAGTCCATCCCATAAACAAACTGTAAAGCTCCCAGATCCACCACCTCAAAACCATGATTGTCCCCTATAACTATGAGCCAATTGTTCATGTGACCACAAGTGAGCTGAACCATTAACTTGCTTCTTTTGCTTCTGTAAATTGCTTGGCTGATCACAGCTCCTGGAAACCTTTACCCATTGCATCTGTTGTCGGACTAGAATGTAGATTTTTTTAAAAATTTTTATTAGTGAGACATCATGAGGTACAGTCGTAGACTTACAAATTTTTGTGCTTGGGTTTCAATTATACAGTGATCAAATGCCCTCCACCAGTGCCCATTTCCCACCACTAGGATGTAGATTTTTGCCTTTAAAAACTCAGCTCCGACTGTCCTCAGGGCCATGAGTTCTTTTGGGATGCTAATCTACTCATAGTCTCTGACTTCTGTAATATAGACACGTGTTTCTCATGAAACTCCCTTATAACAAATGAATTGGGAAAAGTCACAGATTTTGAATCATGATATGATTTTATATACATACATACATAAATATACACACACATACACAAATAAATGATTTTGAGGTCACACCAGGGGTGATCAGGGCTTACTCCTGGCTCTGCACTCAGGGATCACTCCTAGTGGGCTTGGGAGACCATATGGGGTGCCAGGGGTCGAACCTAGATTAGCTGTGAGCTGGGCAAGTGCTGTACTATATCTCCAGCCCCATAACTTATATTTTTAAGATGGTCAGTCAAGGGTGCAGTGGGACATGGGTAAGAGAAGAGCAACTAGTAGAGTAATAGACATTGTGGAGACTAGGACCAAGGTAATAGAAGGAGAGATTCTGGATCTACTTTAACACATTGATGCAGGTGCTGCAATTTGTATTAATTGAGCCACATCCAAGTGTGAGCCACCGGTGCTACACATGGTTGTCAACTTAAAACTAGAGCAGAGTAAAAGAAAGGAGATTTTGTTGACCTAAGCAACCAAAGAGCAGGATTGCCTCTAGCTGTAATGGGGAAGAGAACAGATGGAGTTAAGTCTGGGGACTGTCTGAATCCAGGCTGAAGATCAATATTAATCAAGGACAACTGTCCTTTCCCCATAGCCTAAAGATAAGAACAAAATATTCTCAGTTTACCCTTCCCTCAAATCTAAAGTTAAGAATACCTCATTTTGTGCTTCCCCAAAGGCCTACCTCTTATTTTCTTTAGGTTTCCAAATAACATGCCCATCCTCTCTCTTCTTTACATATAAAATCCCTTCTTGAGACCTAAAGATAACACTGGGGATAAGGTGCTTGACCCACACCGCAGGAAGCCAAATCCAGGCACCCCAACAAAACCCTTATTGCCACAGTTGGAGAGACATGAGCCACCATCTTCCTACCTACATGCTTATTGTCAATAAATCTTTTTCTTCTTGACCCATCCATTATTGAGTCTCACTTTCAGTTGACTCGAGTAGCAGCAGTGGAACAGACTGTGGAGGTTACAACATTGGGAGCTTAGCTGACTATAGATTATTTTTTTTCTCATAATAGCACTGTAGCATTGTAGCACTGTATCCCCGTTGTTCAATGATTTGCTCGAGCGGGCACCAGGAACGTCAACATTGTGAGTCATGTTACTATTTTTGACGTATTGAATATGCCACGGGGAGCTTGCCAGGCTCTGCTGTGCAGACAGGATACTCTCTTTAGCTTGCCGGGCTCTCCAAGTAGGATGGAGGAATCGAACCTGTGTCAGCCACATGCAAAACAAATGCCTTACCCACTGTTCTATTCTCATAGTAGAGAGAAGTAATGATTTCAAGAGATTTCAGCATACTTTCTTTTGATATTTCTTTTCAAATTAACTTCTCTTCTCATGCCATCAGCCTCCTTCCTTGAAAGGAAAATTTGAAAACTGAGGATATTGATTTCTCTTAAACTTTAATTTCTTGATGCTTTTATCCACCGTTTTGCTTTTGGAGAAGTTAAGTGGAAGTTACAACAATTTCCAGAGTCTTTGCTCTGTCCGTTATTATTATGATTATTATTGTTGTTGTTTGTTTTTTAAGCCATATCCAGCAATGTTCAGGGCTTACTTGTTGCTCTGCACTAGGGGATATCTCCAGGCAGGAGTGGTTTGGGGAACCATATGGGGTGCTTTAAGATTGAAAGCGCAGTCAGCTGCATGCAAGGCACACAAGCACCTTACTTGCTGCACTGTCACTCTAGCCCTGCCCATGTTATTTTTAAATGATTATTTATGTGATGACGCTTCCTCTCTCAGAGTGAAGGTTTTTGACATTTCTTTTTTTGTTTTCTATTTGTTTTTTTGGTGTCCATTTTGTTACATTTGAGAGAAAGGAAATTTCTTCATCTTCTATTTGTCCCCCAGTTTCTCTGTGCAATTGAAACAGGGTTTAGTGACGACTTGAATTGCTGTGTATTTTTAGCTGTATCTAGAAGTACATGTACAAGATAACTAGGATAATTACAAAGATTATTTAAACTAAAATTACCCCCCAAATATATCAGAAACATCTAGATAATTGCAGAAAAATGTATTTTCTTCGTTTGAAAAGTATTCTGATAATAGCTGCAATTCCCTCCTCCACTTTGCATTGCAGACACCAGCCGGAGATTCCAAAATAGCGCCCACAGTGCTGAGCCGAAACCCGCTTTGTGTTCTTCTGACCAGTCACAGTTAAAAATGTAGTTTAAAATTGTCCATATTCGCTCAAGTCCCATGATTCTAGTCACAACAACGCATACAAAAGCAGAGTGCTTAGTTTGCTGAGAAAATGTGATTGTGAGGAAGGCAA